ATTATTATTATTATTATTATTATTATTATTATTATTATTATTATTATAGCCGCCACCCGCGAGCTTGCGCAAATCATATAGAATAATTATGATAATCGTAAAACTTGCAATGATAAACATTATACACACACTGCTGTTGGCGCTATTAACATTTTTATGTATACAGGGTGATTTTTTTCGATTTTTCTTTATTTTTCGCGCGTTCAATCCGCCGATTATTGCTTTTCCGAACAAATTTCTAACCGTACGCGCAACACTGGTTTCATTAGTTTACAGACGGATTCAACAGACGATCAGACTGTAACGTTTACAATATTTACTATCATTTTTATTTCCTCTAACACTTTTTTCAAACGAAAACGGAACGTTTGAGTTAACCGTAGAGGTGTTTTAATCTTCTATCCTTCACTTCATTCATCTTCACTTCGAAAATCATATTATAATAACAATCAATTAGTTACTAATATTATCGTAACGCTATCACAGGTAGATTTTCACTCCGTTACGAAACGCAACATTAAAAATGAACTGTGAAAAATCACCTTGTATACTTAAAAGTTTTTTTTTTTTTATTTATTTTTTTTTCGTTTTTGTTATTATAAATGATATTATTTATAATTATATCGTCATCACCGCCGCTGCTAAATAATTTTGTAATGAAATATCGCCGTCGCAGTTGCCGCCGCCGCCATGTCGATGCTGTTGCTTATTGTGTACTTTTATGAATACGTCATGATCTCATGTATGGGCGCAACTAAAGTATACATTTTGGGGGGAGGCTATAAGTACCAGGATAATACTAACCCGTAAGGGCTACGTCATCATACTCTAACCACTAATTTAACTATGAACAAAATTTATCACAACTCGCTACTATAAATTCAGTTCAAATTAAAAAAAAACGATGAAATAACGTAATTTTGTGAACCAAATTTTGATTTAAGGTATTCCTAAGTAAATCAAATACCGTAATACAACAAATAACAAGAATTATTAAACTTAATAATTATTCCGTGTATAGAAATTATAGGCATAGATAATTGGATTTTATCTCAATCTCAAAGACAATATTCTGCGATTTATTACTTTTAATCTGGGAGTGCTATGACAATATTTAGGATAACGCATCTCCCTCTCCCCCAAGCCACCCCTCATAGTTGCGCCTACGATTTCATACAACTGGTTGGCCTACAATCATCATAATGTATAGTAATAATGTGCCATCATGCTCGTGTACATTGTGTTTTCATTTTAAGTCTTTACGGTACATCTGATAATTGCAAAGCTAACCGTTCATACAACAGAAATCGCTGACCAAAATCCGTTTACCATACGGTTCCTCTCGTCCAGCAAACGTACTACCGCACTACTTTTTACTTATTATTATATACATTATTACGTACCGCACTTCTTAATACGGTTCATTCTTGACTCAACGAAGTGTGCGTATCGTGCGAGCCCTAAAATATTTCACTATGTTATCGTGTAAGCAATTCATACGTTTTTTTCGTTTGGAATCTCGTGAACTACAAACTCTTCCATCGTCGCACCTAACGATTTCCACGGACTGTTTGATTTCAAACAATTTAATTATTCGGTGATCGAGTGATTTCAAAAACAAATGCCAGTTCCATCGGATTTCGTATCCTTAATACCAATATCAAACGCATTTCAATTCCGTTGGGTATTGTTACGATAACACTCGTGACTTCGTCCGTTTCCCGAATGTCGGCGATTGATCTCGAACGCGGTTGAAAATTATCGCTGCCCCGACGCGATCCCAACGTTTTTTAATGGCAGGTACACCGGCAATACGGATACTATACCAGACATTTGGCAACCCCCCTTACCCTATCGTTTTCCGAAAACGTGTAGCCCACGCTCCGGGGTCCTGCGAATCGAATAACGTCGGCGGCCGATGCGCGCGAGTGTTGAACCGGACGGGTAATCGTCCCACGACATCATCCCTGACGCTCGCGGTGTTCGCCGTTACAACAGCACGCATGGTCTAGCGATTTCTATTGTACCCGTGCGAACGCATTTACACTTGTGTGCCGTTCACTCCCCGAGCCTTTTACACGACTAATCGGGAGTAAGGATAGTTAACGGATAAAAATCGATCGAAAACCGTACGGTCCGCACTGCGCGGAGAAGACTGTGGGGCTCGTCATCATATTACGTGGCAATAATTATCGCGTTTCATGGACTCCGTCGCGCGCCCGAGCTGTTTTCAGTCGAGCGCGCACGGGGTGCACCGCGAAGGGTGTAGTCTCGCAATCTTCGCGGTACGCCCTTGCACGCGTGACACTTTATGAACGGTTTTTTACGGCACGTGCCGGTGCAACCACACCGTTCGTCAGCGGATTCCATTCGTTTCCGGTTGTTATCGTTTCGTTCGATTTTTTTATTATTATTTTTTTTTTTTTTCCATTTCATCTGCGCGTTGTAAACGTGACCCCGTTGTTGCAGGAAAACTTCATAAACGTCGGATTCCTCCGTCTGTTCCGGGCCGCGAGACTGATAAAACTGCTGCGGCAAGGGTACACAATACGGATATTGCTTTGGACATTCGTCCAGTCGTTCAAAGTGAGTACCCGCGGCCGCGCGTCTCCGACTCCGCGTCCGACTGATCGCATCGTATTTTCCAGGCTCTGCCCTACGTATGTCTGCTGATCGGCATGCTGTTCTTCATCTACGCCATCATCGGCATGCAGATCTTCGGCAACATCCAGCTGAACCCCGACACAGACATCAACAGGCACAACAATTTCCAAACGTTCGTCCAGGGCCTGATGCTGTTGTTTCGGTAACGTTCGTCGACCCGTACCTACGCGTCCTGTTCTCGTCGTTCCCGATCGCGGTCTCGAAACCGTCTGCGCGCGACTCGGTCGAACGATTCACGCGCGTTTTCAAAATATTTCGTTGACCAAATACTTTGGTTCGCGTTCATCCCGCGTTGGAACGACGACGAAAACAACAACGACAACGACGAACACGTGGATAATAACGTTTTAACGTTTCAGGTGCGCCACGGGCGAAGCGTGGCCGTCGATCATGTTATCGTGTATTCACGGCAAAACGTGCGAGGCCGGAGCTAAGAAACCCGGACTGGAATGCGGTTCGAACATGGCCTACATGTATTTCGTGTCGTTCATTTTCTTCTGTTCGTTTTTGGTAAGTCTCGCGCTCGTTGGCGTGCGATTCTATTTTTTATTTTTTAGTTTTTCTTCGTCATATTTATTTCGACGAGAACGAACGAGGAATGAATAAACTAATCGAGCAAATCGAAAAATTCGGAAACATCGTGCACCGTCTACCTTTTCAGTGTTTACAATGACCGATACCGTGTTTTTTCGCTACCTTAAATTTTGTTTACGTTTACGGATTAAAAAATGTGGAATTTCCAAATCAATACATTGGACCGATCATTTTGGCGATCGATTATACTTAGACACATCACGATTTACGGTCTGATGATATTATAATATACATGAATGGATGCATAAAATCGCCCATCACTACACCGAACATGTGGACCATCGAAAAACATTGCCTTTTTTTATCTCTCGATTCATACGAATTCAGACCTTTTGTCTGTCGTGGCGCCGGTAACATTAACGATCATCGCCGTTGACCGTTTTGTCTCGTTACAGATGTTGAACTTGTTCGTGGCTGTCATCATGGACAACTTTGATTACTTGACCAGAGATTCATCGATATTGGGGGCTCATCATTTAGACGAATTCGTCCGGATTTGGGCGGAGTACGACCCGAACGCCACGTAAGTGCTAACGATAAATAAATTTAAAAAACCGTATTCGGTCGTGCAATGCACATACTATAGAATATAAGAAAAAATTATTTTTCAATACATATTTTATAGATCATCTCTAATAATATATGTGTTAATGGTCATTAATAAATTTTTTTTTTCCATACTGGTTGACATTATTTTAAATAGAAACATGTTGTAAACGCTTACACATATAATACTACAAACAAGAATTTTTATCGTTATTATAAGATACATTTAATAATACTTGGTTATTATTTTAAGAATAATATAGATACGAAACCACTTTGATTTTATATTTATATATGCTGTTTTTGTGCGTGGTTTTTGTCGTAAAAAACCACTAACTAATAGAAATATGTTCACTCGCAGGGGGAAGATACACTACACGGAAATGTACGATATGCTCAAAAACATCGATCCACCATTGGGTTTCGGCAACAAGTGTCCCAACCGTTTGGCGTACAAAAAGCTCATCCGGATGAACATGCCGATTGATCAGGACGGCAAAGTGCAGTTCACCACCACGTTGTTTGCCCTCATCAGGGAAAACCTCAGTATCAAAATGCGATGCGGTACGTGTGGCGCTGCAATAGTTTTATAGCATAGCGGCTAAAAATATAAAAATGTTATGTACTAGAACGCAACCCAACCAAAACCTAGGTACAAATTTCGGTCATTTCGGTACCTAAACCATGTACCATGTTCCTTGATATCGTCCGCGTTGTTGCATAGATCCCTGTAAATGCCCATAATTGCACATAATCATAATTAAATTAAATAAACGCATGTTTCATGCGTGTGTCCTTAACATCGCCCTCTTATTCGATGGTTTTTATTTCTGAAAACGTCCGTGGGAGTTGCGGAAGGCACTGTACTTGTATTAATGAATGTCCCCCCCCCCTTCGGAGTCCTCGCAGGTGGCCAACAGAACAACACTTTGTGTTGTAATGGTATTACAATGATACATGTTGCCATGGTTAGGTTAACCATGGCTGCACACCAGTTGCGTTTCCGAGATATCTACGAAAAATATCTAATCCGAATTGCGGCCCGGTTGATGTTCGTCACGTCTATCCTATGTAATTATTATCGTTCCCCGTTCGACAACAACGACAACTAACCACTTGCACAGCATTTATTCGATCAAATACAAACCTACCTGCAGCACTGATGCTACAGATAGTCCTGAGTCCGTAAAAAAACGGGAACGAAAACGAAGCTTGGAATAAAATATACGAGAGTAAAAAAAAAAAAAAAAATTGTTAAGTTAGTAAGTACCCGGGCCGCGATTCGGAAAACAATTTTTACCGCGGGACGCAGCAGGTGGCCAACCACCGTTATGCATCGCCTTCGGTGGCTCTCGCGCAACCCGTTATCGTTTTGACGATGTTCGTTTGTTGTTTGCAGCCGAAGAAATGGACCAGGCGGACGAGGAGTTGAGGGAGACCATCAGGCACATATGGCCGTTGCAGGCCAGAAAGATATTGGACCTGCTCATTCCGAAAAGCGACTGTAGGTTTTCTGCACGATTAACGGTGTTCCGTTTACGTCGGCTATACGTCGCCGCCACTCGTATTGGCCGACATTATTATTAACCTCACTGTTTCCCCCGGCACAGGTCTGAACTCCGGCAAGCTGACGGTGGGCAAAATATACGCGGCTCTGTTGATACTGGAGAGCTGGAAGGCCACGAGATTCGGTCAAATCAAATCGTCCAATCCGCAGGTAATATACCTTATTCGCATTCATGAACCGTTTTATATACGCGTCTCCGTGATACGTTTGAAAAAAAAAAAAAAAAACAAACAAACAAAAATCGCGAAAAATAAAAATAACTACACCCAAAATGTTTTGAAAGAGGATTGCTACGATAAAAATTATAACAATAAAAAAAGAAATAAAAAATAGATAAATAAATATGTATTACGTACCGACGACGAGGGATATAATAGTTAAGGTGTGCGATGAAACACTGCGCGGTTCACACCCGAGGGTAAAAATTATCGTTAAAATGTTTCGACGTTAATCATTAAGAAAAAAAAAAGAAAAAAACGCATTCATTACGTAATACGTTTAAGTCGGTTGCGTTTATTTATTGTTTGAGTGCTGTTATTTTCCCTGATTTTTTTTTTTTTTTGTTTTTATTTGTTTATTATTTTTGTTATTTTACGAATTGTCATATTATTTGTGCTGTGAACTTATATATCGATGCGTGTTTATTTTCCTTGGACCCGTTACAATGTTTTACATTGATGTGTTTTTGGTAAAACAATTATTATTGGTTGGTGTACAGCGCATGCACAGTTTAATTTCGGATTGTTTTTGTTCTGTTTTATTTTTCGTTTTGGTATAATTTATTACTTGGTATAAAAATCAATGTTGTGTGAGCGAATTTTTTTTTTTTTTAGTTTTTTTTTTTCGCATTATTGATCGTTTACAAGGTACGAGAATTCAAAAAGATTTACAAAAATAAATAAATAAAAAAAAAAAAAATCCACCACAAAATTATTTTCGTACTTTGGGTATGTTACGAGGATACAAAATTATATGTTTTGTAAAAGCTAAAATATTAAGCTTGTGAACACGAAATAAAAACACGTTTTGCTTTTACACGTTCACACTTGTTTGATATTATTTTTATTTGAGTTATTGTTTTTTATTTTTATTTTTGTGTTGTGAAGTCCATAAGTTTTCAAAAAAAAAAAAAAGAAGAAAATTAAATAAATAATAAATGTCGTGGAATATATAATAAATAAAATCATACGATTATTATATTAAACGTAACATTAAATTCTTACGTGAACATTTTTAAAACACAAATAAAAGTGTTGTTGGTTTTATCGTTTTTGTTTTTTTTTTAATTATTATTTTTTTAGCTTTAAAAATAATATAATATATAATACAGTTTTTTAGTAGATAGGTGATTATAGTCAGTGAAGTAGGTATATAATGTCATTGTTTAGTGTAGTATATGCACAGAATAATAATTTGTCAATGTGTGGAGAATATATTGAAGGTTAGGTGGAATTTTTTAGGCATTATAAAAACCATGGATCACCGTTGATGTTTTTAGGCTTAGAATAATTGTAGAACACATAATATTTGATTAGAGCATGGAAAAAAAGGGTGAACGAAATTACCTAGTAAATGGATATTGAGAACAGTCGACATAGAGACAGTTTATATTTATGTGTTTGCTTTCAGGACATTGCAGAACATAGTTCCCCAGAGCCGGTAGTATTTATTTGAGTTTATTCAATTATTTTTTATATATAAATGTATTATTTTTAATCATTAGTTTCGTATTATATTTCTTTATTATTGTTTTGTTTATTCATTTATCATTTATTTGTTTCCATTATTTTGTATTTAATGTTATTACCATCATTCGTTTTCAATTCCATTTGTACAGTTTCTCGTTTCATAATTTTTTTTTTTACACTCCTTGTCACTACAAGAATACTATTACGTAGGCACCGTGGTGAAACGTTGAAAAATCCTACTGAAAAAATCAAAAAATAACTTTTACCGCGAAACAATAGCACAATTAAAAGAAATACCGAAAACGTAATTTCAAACGATCGCATTTTAATGGTTTCTATATCATAAAAAAACCGGATTTTTTTAACTATTCTAAATAAAATTAACATTACACAAAGTTAACTGATCGCTCAACGTTTTATCTACGTATATTGATGATAATATATAAATATAATTCATGTATTACTTTTTCACATTCATTATCATTCGTTCTTCTAGTTGAATCACGATTTATATAGCAACATTTTATTTCTTATATTCTTTTCCTATTCTATTATTTATATATTTAATTTATTTTTTATTTTTATTTACATTTTTTTTTTTATTTATTTTTTTTTATATTGTTTGTTAAATTGTGTTATAATTTGATTTACCAGTCCTTGTTCTATTTATAAGCACTATACGAAAACCCCCAGTTACCCACAACATATTATTATACATACCACCCTTATTAAAATATTCATATATATATATATATGTATTATGTATTCATAAATAATATATAATATATGTATATTTATATATTTTACCTAACTATATACATTTTAGAGTATAGGTAACGTACGAGTAACATATAAAAATTTTGTTCGTCTATTAGACCACAGTTCAGCTGGCTATATTAGTTTCTTTACATAGCGCTAAACATTTATATATAAATAATAAATATATATATATTTGTATAATATTATTGTATCTAATTTTTCATTATTGTTTTTGTACTACTTTTAAATAATAGATCCGTTTTAATTGCATTAGAACGCACGTGTTTAATAAGTACGGGTCTTTCAGACATATCATTTTTTTTTCTTTTTACAGTCAATTACACGGATTTATAATAATATATATATTTATTTATTTATATATATTTACATTACTTTATATCGACTCGATGTAATATATTATGTCTGTTAGCATAGTATACTTCATCGTAATAAGTCTTAATAATATCGTATAATTTTCTACATTATATGTTTATTTTATCACACTTACAATAATTATTAATATTATTATTACTATTATCATTATTATTATTATTATTATTATTATTATTATTATTATTATTAAATTAGCTGACGTAGTTATATATATATATATGTATATTTAGATGGATTGCTGTATTTTTTTTATACCTGCATTCTTAGATTGTAATCCTAACAGTACTTTAGCTGCACGAGTTTTATAACATATTTTACTATTATAATACACTATGTAAATACGGTAGTTTTCATGTGTATGCGTAGTTAGAAAATATGTATATATATTAGAATGCAATTGTTTGTTATTTATATTTATTTTTCCTTTTATTTAAATAACAACAATATAAAAAAAACCTAAGATAATTAATATCGTACGATAAAAAAAAAAAAAAAAAAAAAGAAAAGAAAGAAAACAATAAATCGTGAGATTTGAAAATAAAAAGTAAAATAAATTATTATTATTATTATTATTATTATTATTATTTTAAGCTTATAACACCCGCTTGACGACAAAGCTTCATATACAATACATTATCTTCGTATGGAACAGTTATACATACAAAGCTTCTTTTTTTTTAGGGAGATGTGGTGGTGGTTAGGCTATAAAAAATTATAGTTGCACACTGTTGCACTCCTAACAAGCTACTATGTAATTTTTCGCTAATTTTTTTATTGTTTTTTTCCATTTCTAGTTTACTATTTTATCTTTATACTACCTTTTTTCTATAAAACGTTATTGTGTAAAAATTTCAAACAGCACTCGTCGTTCTTCACGTGCCTCATGGAAGCCGCTGGTGCGACCAATTGGAACGCGGAACGAGGGCAAGACGAAGACGAAAACAGCTGTTTGCTGACCAGAAACAACTCCAGGAGCAGGTAATTGTCGAAGAAGTGTGAGCGTGCGTGTGTAGTAAAAATACCGCGGTGTACGAACACATTAAGTGCATTACGTACCGAAAAATAAAAAACCGAAAAAAACTATGCGAACGGTCACGTTACACGATTCATTATGTTATGGCGACCACAAATCCATTTTCGTTTTCGTAAAATTGCCTTTTAACGTTTGAGATGCGGCAAACGAAATGTTTAATGATTTCGTACATCGTGTGCTCGCAGCACCGGACTTCGGTGACGTTATCAACATGAAAATGTATACGTAATACCGGTGATGGTTGTTATTTGTTTCAGGTCTAAAAAGGTGATGACCGTATGACCAAGTAATATTTACACATGAATACGTCAACCTAAACCCCCAGAGTGTTTACCCCATCCTTTTTTATAGTTTAAGGCTAAAACAAAAGTTTAAAAACACACAACGCCGACACTCGTAATTATTAAAATAATTTACAACCGCGTGTAGGCATATTATTATAACTATGATTGATATTATTATTATTATTATTATTATTATTATCCGTTTAAACACATAATATAATAACATGTACGCCCTTATGTGTACCACATAATGAATCGAGGAAGAAAAAAGTTGAAAAAAAAATGATACATTTCATTCTAACGTATCTATCCGTATCTAAATATAAAACAAAATATTATAATATTATGGAAAAAGTCAAGTGATAACATAATAATTAAATATACACGAGACCCTTGATGCTAAAAATGTTTTAATTGTGTCAAGTGACTATAATCTGTGTGTAAAACGGTTCTGTGTTTGTGTATTTTCAGCGATATATAACGCAATCCAAACGTTTGAGAAGGAGGCGTGGCGATATTTTAGAAAAGGTATATTTTGATGGTTTGAGATTTTATGAACTCCCCCCGGAGAAATAGATACGTTGTGTTTTTTACTCGTTGGTTGTTTTATATATTATATATACATACAATATGAATATTATACGTTGTTATATTTTGCATTTCATTTACGTAGAACTCTTGAATTTCGACTTATTTTTGCGGAAACCATCACGGGTTTCGATTAAATACATACATAATATTATACGTATAAATATATACTTAGACCTTTTTTTGTGTGGTTGCATAGACTCTAGTCACTTGATGGAACTCTCTTTCTCTCTCTTGTTAAAACCATTTTTTTTTTTTTTTTTTAATGAATTGCGGGGCTACGAGGGGGTACTTCGCCCTTGCGGGCAGTCCTTCCCCTCGTAACTGTATCATTTAATGAGCACAAATAGTAGTTCTACAACGAATAAAGGGCTCTATCCCTCTTAACTTCGCCTTCGGCGCATATTTTACATATATGCATATTGCAATAATAAAACAATTATAATATATATTATAATTATTTTATTATATACATATATTTATATATATGCGCTCTCTTCGCGACACTTTATAGAAATGAAAACAGACACGTTTAATATTTACATAGAGAGTTTAGATGATTTAGAATGATTTATTTATTTATTATTATTATTATTATTATTATTATTTGTTGACTTGGTAAGGATAATTATATTATTATTATTGTTATTGTTATGTAGTTCTCGTATCTAAAAAAAAATATATATATATTATTAATTTAGGTAGGTAAATATTAAACCATTATGGTAATACTATAATTATTATTATTATTATTATTATTGTTGTTTACTGTATAATGAAATATAAGATTATTTAGAGTTTTGGACGGACATTACTTGTCCGTTAGTTATATAATATTATTGTCCCAGGATAGATGTATACAATTGATTATTATGTTTAACTATGTTACATATATATATATACATATATGTGTATTATTTTTTTCTAATTATTATTATTATTATTATATTTATAACATATGTTTAGTCTTAAATTTTGCACGATGCATGTGGCGCAAAATTTGCATGCATTTTTAAACATCTTATCCACTTTTTTCATTAATAACATTATTCTATTATTATTATTATATATATATGATAGAACTGTGGTCAGTTGGTGAAATAATTTTAAATTTTAAACTCCCCAGTCGTTTTTTATTTTATTTTGTTTTCGCGTTTCCTATCACGAAACACATACAATAACCGCACTACCCTATATACTTTTTTTCAATATTATTATTATTTTAACATTTTATTTATAATTAATAATATTATAAGTTTTTTTTTTTTTAACCAAAATATTTTTACCGTAGTCATCTTTCAACGGAAAACCGGTAACACGTACACCCCACAGCCATCGGAATAACCGTATTTTATTTTATTGCAATGCAAGCATCCGTTACATGTGTATCCGTTCAGTAAATACTACCGGTAAAGCCGTGTAAAATATATAATGCAGTATGTATAATGCATATAAATAATATGATTTACCGGTGCGATCGAGAGGAGAGATTTTTCCACTCCTGAAAATTATAACGATGAGCGCACAAGTTCTCGTTTTTCGTTTTTTTTCTTCTTTTATTTTATCCATTTATATTGATTTATTTATTTTTTTTCATTTTTTTATTGGTTTATTGGTTTTTCGTTATACATACATATATATGTATATACGTATTTACATTCCATTCACATTTCGTGTACATATATATATATATATATATTTGTTTTATAAAATGCAAACGTGTTACATTACGAACACATAGCGGCAGGACCATCGCCAATGAAGCGGAACAATGGGAGCATTTTTTCCAGGTCCCAGTCTAGGAAAATTGAAAGGGGGCCCTCTAAAAGTCCACATTGTTTAGAAATGCTCGGCGTTACCTATTAGAGTCCCCAATAATTTTTCTTAATGAAATATTATTAAATTGAATTAAATAAGATCAACTTAAATTTATATTTGAGCGCTGTTATACAGGCTACATTTTCAGTCATTCCAATTTATAAATAATTAAAACTTTAATTTATTACGGTTATTGCTGGGGTGGGCAGAATAATTATATCCGAATTCACATAGAAATTTGCCAACGCGACAAAATCCAAGTTCTCGTTCTCTATGGCGGTTCATTAACGATCTAGGAACGAATACGATTTTAATTAAACGTAGTAACCGGTAGTTCGTTGTACCGATGCGTTAAAACGATCTTGATCGGTTAAGGTTTGGAAAACTATATTCACCGGAATTTCGGGAACGCGGTGAGTGATTTCCTTATCGTAATCTCACGTCGTTGCGATGGTCGAGGGCTCCCTTGTCCCGAGATCGATTTGCCCCGGGCCCGTAAAAATCCCTGAGGCGGCCCTGCACAGCGCGCCGCGGTGACAACGCGCACGGACGTATATTTAACGTACACGTACGGAACGGAACGGGCGTGACGTTAAATATCCGCGTCCGCGCTACGTGACGGGACCGCGGGAACGGTGTAATTTATACGCGAGGACGCGGGCGGTTTACAGGTGATGGAGCTGACGGACGTGGTGATCTCGTCGCGGAGGCCGTCCGAGGATTCCAACTCCGATGGGCAACAATCCCACAGCCAGGGCATGCACTTACATCCCGGTTACCGGCAACCGAGGTCGCGGTCACCCAGCATACGGTACGTACCACGTATACCACACGCGCGCGCCCGAACTAAAACGTTGTCGGTCCGACGCGCCCGTACGATCGTCGTCTGGGCTGGAATCGCGCGTTCCACTAAGCCGGATAACACTATTTTTATTTCGTATATCCTTTGGGGTTTCCTTTTTTTTTTTTTTTTTTTTTATGATTTTTCGCGCATAATTTTTTAAATGCAACAGTCGCGCAAACGTCCGAACCCTAATCATCGTTGTGCGCGAACGGAACACGGGCGAACTAGATTTCTATAATGTGTTACGCCGATAACGCACTACCGTCGCATCCGACGTCGGTGTTCTGCTGAGAGCGTATTGCGTTTGGTACACGGGGCGAACGGGGTTGGGTTCAACGACGTATGGGGTTCACCGGGGTCGTGGTCGTGAAGGATCATAAACGTGGTTGATTTTGTTTCGTCCGACCGAACGACACAGTTCTTCCAGATCTTCAACGGCTGCACTCGAATGCACCGTGACGGACGTAACCGCGGATTCACACATTAGGTTAGGTTCACCACTGCTGGATGCGGGAAAAATGGGAAAAACGCCGTTTCGCTGTATGCTCGTCAGAGAAATCATACCTATGTTTTCCACGTGTGTAATGTGTTTTAAGTTGCGTTAAACGTAAGATCGTAAGGATCGACCACACCCTACTGGATTCGCCGTGCGCGTTCTTATAAATACTTTCGCAAATTAGGATTAGACGACGCGTCACGGATTTCGTCCGATCGCTAATCGCCGTGTTTGTGATTTAGGAGAGAACGTCGATCTCCATCGCCAATCAGGAGATACCATCATCAATCTCACCACTTTCATCATAGTCATCATCCGCACGAGATCGGTTTCAGCGACACCGTGTCCAACGTCGTCGAGATCGTCAAACAAGAGCATCGTCGACAGCCGAGAGGTAAACACATATGAATAACGATAGAATAACGATAGAACTACTACGAAAACTTGAAGAATTACATATTTAAATTAAATGCTCGCACACACACAATCGTAAATGCCATAAACACAATCGTTTATCCCGTAGACATATAATGACACATATTTTTGTTTTGTCCGTTTGAATACACACGAAAGAATAACATATTCAAATACACCCGAATGGAAGTTAATATAATATTTTTCGCCTAAAAATTACCGACGAACATTGCTACGATCCGTAACGTTTTGTTTTCGTTTTAACACAAGATAATTGCAATAACCAACAACGAATTGCTTTGTGATTTCTATTTCTTCCTCCGTGAAAGCATATTATACGCGATAGAACAAAAAAAAAAAAAATAATAGACGCTCGCTTAAATCAAACCAAAATCATACAAATTATTGCAATCCGCAATGCGTATACAAATTTTCCAAACGTTCAACATGCACATGTTGAACGTTGAACTATGCTGATCGAATGTGCAATCCAGAAACTGAGAACAATCACATTGAACGTTAAACGATATTTTTATAATATTACATATCATTGATAATAATATTATGTTTGATTGAAATAAAACTTTCTTTTTTACTACTGCTCGGAATTAGTACGATAATAATATACATGATGATGAGATTGGTATGGTAAACCGTCGGTGGTTTTTTTTTTTTTTTGTTAGGTCGAAGTACTCGAAGTCAAACATAAGGATAACGGTACAATTATTATTGCACGTATTTTTTTTTTCTTTCTTTTTTATCATATACTACTATCATTTGCGAATATATTTTATGCTACGCATAATAGATGTACGATTATTGTACTTGAAGTTTCGTAATTTACATTCAGATTTTTAACGACGTTTCAATAATTTATATACGTAACTATATAAAGATTATACATAATACATTATTATTATTTTTATGAATTTGTAATATAACTGATATTTGATTTCATCGTTGTTTGACCGACACATAACATTAATACATACGTAATACATACTTTGTTACACATCGTACCATAAATACATATATTTATATATTACAACTCTATTGTATATTGACAAGTATATAATTATTTTTCATTACACTATCATTGTTGAGAACAGTATATTATTATAAATAGATTTGAAATTATTTGTTGTGTACATCTCACATAATCATTCGCCCGCATGAACCGTATATATACTACATCACAATAAGATTATAATAATAAAATCATTTAAACGTACGCATATAAAAAATTATCACACACACATATATATATATACGAGTATATGTATACCTACATGATACAATAAACCGTAGTTTCGTTGATCCACGACATCATAATATGTAAATAATAATACGATTAACGGATTTTATTTAATTTTTCAATAAATTGCGTTTGAATGCCAATACCAAAATATTATTGATTATAATAATATTGACTATTACAATTATTATTATTATTATTATTATTATTATTATTATTATTAATAATAGCTGTTGGTATGTGCGTAGGGGATATAGAAAATCGAGACGGGTGAAGGTTTAGGACAAGGGTGGCCGACCTCAAATAGTTGGGAGTACTACACCATCTTGTTTTTGATAAGTTTACGGTAAATAATATTATATATCAACAAAAATGCTGTTCGCATACCTGGTTCAGGTACAATCGAAAATATACCTATTTTACTTACTTTTTGAGCACAACTTCAGAGAGTTATGATTCTGATGGCACTAAAGAATTAGGGGGTATTCCCGCTGTTATAATTTATTACATAGTGTTTTACACTATGATCAAGCACAATTTTTGTGTTTCTAAACCTGATCGGTCCAATACGACATTCGTCGCCTTAAAGCGTTTCGCTGTAAATTAAAATGCATTTCTCGTCGAAACAGGGAACGGACGTATCGATAAAGGATAAACTTGCTCTTACCAATAAATACATTTCTTTCAGCTTCATTCAAATCGATTTATTAGCTTTTGACGAAACGACTATCCCCGTATTATGTGCAATCGATGATCTTCAGAAATTCTAGCATTTTTCATTGTTATCAGTTTTTGACCGTACACGCAAAGTAAATGCGGATTGTTAAATGATAACGAGAAAATACGAAAATGGCTCGATCGGGACATCCTAGTGCACAGGCGAAAATAGGGCTTTGGTCCTCCTAAAACTGCTATATTCGGCAAAAAAAAAAAAAAAAAATAATGATTTAACTAAATGTTTCGCTGGATGTAAGAGCATCTAATATTGACCTGAGTTTCAGCCTCCTCCCTCTCCATCAAATTCCAAGCACTATTTGTCCGAGTGGCTATAAGTCTCCCGTCTCGGCAATATTTCTGTCCGCGTGATAAAAGATAAATCAATGCAATGTACACGTTTTGTCACTCGACGTATTGTTCACGTGTTCGATAACGCAAAGTTCGGTACGGGAAACCGTACCTTAATCAAATAATAATAATAATAATAAAAATAATAATTGTTGTACTGCTATTGTTAATTGTAATCACTGTTGTTGTTTTTATCATCATCATCATTCGGAGTACGTTTTATCAATCATATTTCAATATACGTACACATAGTAAATAAATCTTGTACACACTAACGCTTATAATCGTGCGCCTCGCACCACCACAACCAACGTGTTCCCTGACTGACGAGCAGTCGAACCGAGAAATTCACTGTTATTCTACGATTTACACATTTCGTTCCATCCGGCGGACTAAATACAATTCGGTCGTCGAAGCGTTTTTCGATATTTTGCGGTCAATAGAAAATCCTAAAACCCTTGGACCAAATCCGTAGTTAACTAAATCATTAACGTAATCCGCGACCAATTCAAAATATTAATGTAGCGCGAGTCGAAATCCAATCCGGTAAATCGCTATTAATCTATCAATATAAGATGATTGTTAAGTAACTGAGAGTCCAGCTCACTTGGGTTCGTGTCCATTTGTGTGCCACATACCTACGATTCGATTAGATTACATATTATGTTATTAACACGTTCGCAGTCCGTGGATCTCGATCATAAAATTGCTCGTCGGCTGTCGTTTAACATCATTACTGACGATTCGTAAACAGTCGAGTAATCGTACACGGATTTAAAGTGTAAAAACACAACGATACGGGGCGCATTCTTTAAACATATATAATACGTATGTACGTATGTACATATAATATCGGCAAATTATAATTTTCTGTTGAACGCTAACAATCTAATAAGATGCACGATTAGAGTTGGCCGTACATCTATTTTTTTCGAGATTTTTACACGTATCCACATCGTAATCACTATCGTAGGATACGGAAAACAAAAAAAAAAAAAAATCTAATAAATACGATTTCGATATAATCAATATTTTCAACGCGTGAGTAGTCGCGTAAAAGACGTGTGATTCTGTTCATAGTTCGGTAAAAATGTACGCCACGTGTCCTTTTTGTTGGTCCAAATATTTTCTTTTTACGTTTTATACGTGCGACTTAGAAATCGCATGTTTATTGAAATATAAATGAAAATAAAAATAATTATTCTTGATAAATACCTGGGTAAAAAAAAAAAAAAAACCTTATGCCAGTATATTTAGTAAAACGTTAAACGAATGAAAAAAGCCATCGTTTTACATAAATTATAACGAAATCGGAATAAAAATGGTGTAAGACTTAATAACTGCATCAATCCCAGGTACATAATACAATTTTATAAAACCAAATCGACAAAATTCCAATGAAAAACGAACAAAAATAAAACCGTTTTAAACTTGATAAAAAAAAAAAAAAAAAAAAAAATGAATTATTGGTAAAAATTTCCTATACCGGTTACGGTATCGATTACGTTCGAACAAGTTGAACGCGATCGATAACTCTAATGGATGCGTCCACGTGTCGGTGGGATCGTATTCAACGTGCACTCTAAAAACCAACGATTTAATTATCGTAACGTATGTGGCCCAACGGTACACGGACGGCCTTCGTCATCGAAACCGTTCGCGAGAAATTACTCGTCGGGCACGGTTTTTTTTTTTTTTTTGAAAATAAAAAAAAAAAAAACAGTTTTATTCAATCAAAGTTACGGTTCGATAGATGTACGGTATACATATATTTTTACGGTCAAACACACATACAATCCATGACATCGTAATACATTGATAACGTACAAATAACATGTGCAAAGCGCAGGAAATATCCGTGATAATAACGATGCAACGTGCGCGTGCCCGCGTGCGCGTATTTACGTTTGGCCCGCAGGTTCGTGGTCGGCGTCCACGAGCCCGGTGCGCTCGCCCAGCCCGGACCGGTCGGAGAGCGGCCGCACGTACTACGGCACCACCAGCCTGGACCAGCGTTCGCGTTCCCCGTCGCCGGTGTCCACGACCGGCAGCGGCCGGCATCACCACCATCCGCAGCAGCACAACCACCTGCACCATCACCAGCAGCACCACCATCAGCAGCAGCAGCAGCAGCAGCAACATCACGTAGGCGGCGGCGGCGGGGCGTCGGCTTCGTCGTCCGCCGCCGCCGGGCCAACATCATCGAGACAACTACAGCAGCAGCCGGCGGCGGCGCAACCGTCGTCGTCCGCGTCGCACCACCCGC